CTTTAATGAATGGTTATGTACCACAGAGCTTTAAGGTTGCTGTAATTAAACCTTTACTTAAGAAATCTGACCTTGATTCAGACATTTTGGCCAACTATAGATCTATATCTAATCTAACTTTCATCTAAAAAATTCTAGAGAAAATAGTTGCAGGTCAGTTGCGTGAACATCTACAAAGAAATAATCTGAAGAGTTTCAGTCAGGGTTTAGAGCTCATCATAGCACAGAAACAGCACTAGTAAAAGTAACTAATGATATTCTCATGGCCTCAGACAATGGACTTGTGTCTATACTGGTCCTGTTAGACCTCAGTGCTGCATTTGATACAGTCGATCACAATATTTTACTACAGAGGCTTGAATATGATATTGGGATTACAGGAACAGCTCTAAAATGGTTTAAATCATATTTATCTGATAGATTCCAGTTTGTAAATGTAAATAATAAATCTTCACCATAAACCAAAGTTAGTCATGGAGTTCCTCAGGGCTCAGTGCTTGGACCAATACTCTTTACTTTATATATGCTTCCATTAGGTAAACTTATTAAACAGCATGGGATAAATTTTCATTGTTATGCTGATGATACACAATTATATTTGTCCATTAAACCCAATGAATCCAATCAGCTACTTAGACTACAAGCATGTCTTAAAGACATAAAAACCTGGATGACCCTTAATTTTCTCCTGTTGAACAGACAAGGCTGAGGTTTTGGTTTTTGGACCTGAGCACCTTAGGAATGAATGTTTCAGTCTTTCTCCCTCCTTAGATGCATTAATCTGTCCTCCAGCTCTAATGTTAAAAATCTTGGTGTTATTTTTGATCAGGACATGTCTTTTATCCCCCACATTAAAAACGTTACTAGAACCTCCTTCTTCCACCTGCGTAATATCACTAACATTAGAAACATCTGATCTAAAGATGATGCAGAAAAACTGGTCCATGCATTTGTCACGTCTAGACTGGACTATTGCAATGGTTTATTATCTGGATGTCCAAATACTTCTTTAAAACGTCTTCAGCTGATCCAAAATGCTGCTGCCAGAGTCTTAACTGGAGTTACTGGGAGAGATCATATTTCTCCAGTTTTAGCTTCTCTCCATTGGCTCCCTGTCAAATCCAGAATAGAATTCAAAATCTTACAAAGCTCTAAACAACCTGGCTCCATCTTATATTACAGATCTTATTGTTCCATATTTCGAATATTTAGTTCGAATCCACCAGCAGTCACATGCCGAAGCGTCCCTGGGCAAGACACTGAACCCCTCATTGCCTCTGATGTGTGTCCCATCAGTGTATGAATGTGATAAAGTTCTGATTAGTCTCTTTTGAATGATTTGTTCTATTATCTTTGTATAGATCTAGTATAGAGCTGTATGAATGGGTAAATGAGGCACAGATTGTTATAAAGCGCTTTGAGTATCTCGATAAGATAGAAAGGCGCTATAGAAGTGCAGTCCATTTACCATTTAAATAATTTCAGTTGCGTAGGTGTTTGGCACTGTTCTGTTGTGAGATTTTGTGAAGGTTTCAAACTATTAATTGATCATTAGGAGTTTGCTTAGTCAAGTTGATTTGTTTTAGTGTATGTGAGAATAACTGACCAGCAGCTGTGAACCAGGAACCTCTGTTAATTACACCAGCAGGAAGGGAGGTTCAGCCTCATTTGAAGATAACCTTAGGAATGTTGTAGGGCCTCTGAGAAAACTCACCATTTGGAGGCACCAAGAGATAACATTGTATATTGATTTATGGAAGAGCCTCTGTCTGCCTGAGGAGGTGAATTGTGGTGTTACTGTGCAGAAGGTTAAAGTATGTATCTCCCAGGCGGAGGCTCCCAGGCGTTATAAGGAGGCACTTTTCCTTTGTCTTTCAGAACCGGCTCCTGTCCTACTGGGTCCGCTTCTCCAGATCTGCTGTATTCTTTGCATACATGTTTATGAAAATAAATGTTGTTAAGCCTGAAGGAAGCCTGGTCGTTCCCTCTGATTACACCAATCTGGGAAGAATGAACTGGCACTCGTTCTTAACACTGTCCAGTGATTATGCTTCGTTATTGTGTTCATTTTGAAGGTATAATGGTTGTAACTATGAGTCAGACAACGAAGCTTCATGAAGACGTAAATGGTAAATGGACTGTACTTATATATCGCCTTTCTACCTTATCGAGATACTCAAAGCGCTTTACACTACAATCTGTGTCCTCATTTACCCATTCATCAGAGTCAGAGTTTCTTTATTGTCATTCGCACCTCATGTGGTACATGTGGTGGAGCGAAATTATGTACACGGGGTCCCAGTTACATCCAACAATAAAATGTATAAGAAAAACAGTAATAACATCTAAGATATGAACTAAGAAAAACATCAACTAAATATACACTAAGCACTCATAACATAAAACATTGAACATCAGCACAAACATGTCAACAAATCATACAGCACTTTACTAGATCTCTACAAAGCTAATTGAACAAATCATTCTAAAGAGACTAATCAGAGCTTTATCACATTCATACACTGATGGGACACACATCGGAGGCAACGAGGGGTTTAGTGTCTTGCCCAGGGACACTTCAGCATGTGACTGCTGTGGGGTTCAAACCCTCAACTCTTGGATTGGAGGACAACTGCTCTAACCACTCAGCCACAGCCGGCCCCCACTCAGCCATAGCCGCCAATCTTGCAATGTGTGTGTGTGTTGAAAGTAAGCTATATTCTGTGAAACACCACCTGCTGGTTGATTCTTGTACTACACCAAGAAAGCGGCACATTGTCAAAGCTGTCTGGGCACAGATCCCAGAATGGAGGATGCTTGCAGCTAAATAACCGAAACATCTTATTTATGTAAAAAAAACATTATTTATCTTATTTAATATGTGTGGCTTAGAGACAGGCACGTTTTAAAGCCTGAGAATTATGGTATATTTATTTGGAGCTCCAAGCTCATAAAGCACAAGAAATGCATATTTAAGGAGATGATGATCTCTCCCTCCTCATTTTCAATTTAGTTCTTGTTTCATTCAGTTTCTATCACCGAGGAAAAAAGGTTTGAAAGCTCTATCATCCAGGTAGATAAAAACAAAAAGATTAAATCCTGTCACTTGGACCAGTTTGTTTAAGTGAGACTGTCCAGATAACATGATTTAACCTTTTTTGTTGTCACTGAGGAACTATACGTTAGCGACTGGTGTATATCTTAGATCTTCAGCGTACCATTGGGTGTTCCATCCATCCATTTTCTTCCGCTTATCCGGGGTCAGGTCGCGGGGAGTAGCAGCTTAAATAGGGAGGCCCAGACTTCCCTCTCCCCAGCCACTTGGGCCAGCTCTTCCGGGGGAATCCCGAGGCGTTCCCAGGCCAGCCGAGAAACATAGTCCATCCAGCGTGTCCTGGGTCTTCCTCTGGGTCTCCTCCTGGTGGGACGTGCCCGGAACACCTCACCAGGGAGGCGTCTAGGAGGCATCCTAACCAGATGCCTGAGCCACCTCAATTGGCTCCTCTCTATGTGGAGAAACAGCAGCTCTACTCTGAGTCCCTTCCGGATGACCGAGCTTCTCACCCCATCTCTAAGGGAGAGTCCAGACACCCTGCGGAGAAAATTCAATTCAGCCGCATGTATCCATGATCTCGTTCTTTCGGTCACAACCCAAAGCTCATGACCATAAATGAGGGTATGAATGTAGATTGATCGGTAAATTGAGAGCTTCGCCTTTTGACTCAGCTCTCTCTTCACCACAACAGACCGATATAGCGCCCGCTTCACTGCCGACGCTGCACCTATCTGCCTATCAATCTCACACTCCATTTTTCCCTCATTCGTGAAGAAGACCCCGAGATACTTGAACTCCTCCACCTGGGGCAGGACCTCCTCCCCGACCTGGAGAGGGCACTCTACCATTTTCTGGCTTAAGACCATGGCCAACCACACCCCTCCAGGTCTCACTGTCATAGCCCACTTGAGCATTGAAGTCCCCCAGTAGAAAAAGGGAGCCCCCAGGAGGCGCACTCTCCAGTACCCCCCCTCTAAGGACTCCAAAAAGGGTGGGTAATCTGAGCTGCCGTTTGGCACATAAGCACAAACAACAGTCAGAACCCATCCCCCCACATGTAGGTGGAGGGAGACTACCCTCTCGTTCACCGGGGTGAACCCCAATGTACAGGCACTAAGATGGGGGGGCAACAAGTATACCCACTCCTGCTCAGCGCCTCTCGCCAGGGGCAACTCCAGAGTGGAAGTGTCCAACCCCTCTCAAGGAAACTGGTTCCAGAGCCAGAGCCATGTGTTGAGGTGAGTCCGACTATTTCTAGCCAGAAATTCTCAGCCTCACACACCAGCTCAGGCACCTTCCCCACCAGAGAGGTGACATTCCACGTCCCAATAGCCAGCTTCTGTAGCCGAGGATCAGACTGCCAGGGTCCCCGCCCTCGGCCACCACCCATCCCACATTGCACCCGACCCCTTTGGCCCCTCCCACAGGTGGTGAGCCCATGGGAAGGGGGACCCACGTCTCCTCTTCGGACTGTACCCGGCCGGGCTCCATGGGTAAAAGCCCGGCCACCAGGCGCTCACCAGCGTGCCCCACCTCCAGCACTGTTGGGTGTTCATTTAGTGTATATCTTAGTTTATATCTTAGATCCTTATGTATTGTTTCTTTTTACACTTTATATTTTTGCTGTTATTTGATGTAACTGGGACCCTGTGTGCCCAATTTTGTTCCATCTCATGTACCACATGTGATGTGAATAACAATAAAGAACCTTGACCTTGACTTGACCAAAAACATGCATGTTAGAATGACTGGTGACTCTAAATTGTCCCAAGGTGTGAGAGAGTGTGAATGTTTGCTTGTCTCTATGTGTCCCTGTGATGGACTGGAGACCTGTCTAGTGTCCCCCACCTCTCTCACAGTGACTGCTGGATATGGGCACCAGTGACCCCCGTGACCCGAAAAGGAAGAAGAGGGTAAAAGATGATGGATACATGTATGTTTGTATGGTTTATTCAGTGATTGCATTTTGAAGGTTTCAATAAAATTTATTCAGTGGTTTGAGATATTTTGCTCAAGCAGCTATGACCCAGCTTTCCAAACCTTTGCCTGCCTGGATCATCTTACTCAGTCGAGGCTGCACATTTTGACATCTAATTTGAGGGATTTATTTCAAAACTGCACAATAAGAAAAGGCTCATTTAATGATTGCGTACTGGCACTGTTCATCGTCTCTGCATCCTGCGGTCAGTTCAGCCTGCGTGAAAAGAAACTCTTTTCAATGTATGCATGGCAAAAGTTGAGTGGACCCTCCACCTGTCAGGGGGCACTAGCATTCATTCTCTCCTGGCAGCTGTCCCAGAAAGTCACGAGTCTGTTGTCCCTGTTTGAGCAGAAGTCGGTGAAATCTTTGAGCAGGCGGTCCGCCATCCTCTCGTCGCCCAGTGCTCCGGTCCTCCACGCTTTTGTCAGCATGGTGTTGTAGGCCCAGTAATAGCCCACCCTCTCCTCACCACCAAATGGTCCCTGGCTGTTGGAGGTGGTGGAGTTTCTGCGTCTCCGGCTCTGACCGCTTGAGTACTTCCTCTTGGAGTACGGCAGCTGCAAGAACACCGTGCCTGAAAACACCCGGGGGTGGGTCACATTACCATAAAAGAACTGGTGGTTTGGATTGTTTTTATTTGTTGTGACACAACAAACCTGTGACATGGATGTACTGAGGCTTGTTCTCTGCAGGGAAATTAAAAGTTGAGGAAGAAAACTTGTCGTGTACGAAGCCAAACCTGGTACCAGGAACAAGAGAAGAACTCGTCAGAACACAGAAACACATACCGAGAGCATTAGAACCTTCAAGTTTCTCTCCATTAGCTCCCTGTCAAATCCAGAATTGAATTCAAAATCTTACTTCTAACATCCAAAGCTCTCAACAACCTAGCTCCATCTTATATTACAGATCTTATTGTTCCATATTTTCCTAACAGAGCACTTCACTCTCAGACTGCAGGTTTACTTGTGGTTCCTAGAGTTTCCACACGTAGAATGGGAGGCAGATCTTTCAGTTCTCAGGCTCCTCTCTTGTGGAACCAACTACCAGTTTCTGTCCGTGAGGCTGACACATTGTCCAGTTTTAAGACTGGGCTGAAGACTTTCCTTTTTGATGAATCCTATAGTTAGAGTCATTGTTGAGTTGGCTAAGAGTGTTTAGCTGTAGCAGCCATCCTGATTTGGACTGACTCCAAAGGTGTAGAAGGTGAACAAATTGAGTCTGTCCAGTAGTTCATGGGATATTTTGCTAACAAAGACACACTACTTATAGCTGCTTCGCTTTTTATCAGTCCATAAGTTTGACTTGTTTAGTTGACACCTGGAGCCAACAGAGGAGGAAAAAGCTACTGTGATGCTAATTTTAGCTGCTGCTCAGCTCCTTTTAGCTTTTAGATTCTGCTCTGCTGTTTTTACCTTCTGTTCCGCTCTATTTTTAGCTTCTAGTTGCTTCAGCTGCTTCTAGGTTTTAATTTCTGATCAGCTTTTATCAACCTTCTAGTTTTAGCTTCTAGCTACTGTTCTGCTGCTTTTAGGTTTTAGCTTCTGTTCTGTTCTCTCTGGCCTCCTGAGAGGCCATCAGTCAGGGAAAAGTTTGACAGATCTGATCAGTCAAAGGTGATGACACCCCTACCTGAATGATGATTGTAAATATTTTGGAGATACTTGTTCTATTTGTTCAAAATTCAGTCCCAAGAGTACACTGAAAATGGGAATGGGAGCATTTCTTGTGCCAATGAAGCCATGGCAGGAAGTGGTCATTGATTTTACAAACATGGGAGTGAAACAGAGGGTAAACTGTTACATATATTTGCTTGTCTGTCTTGACACTTTTACCAGGTGGGTTGAAGCAATACCCACAAAAACAGAAACAGGTCAAGAGGTCTTTTCAGGTCTCTCTTGTAAATGAGTCCTTGTGGTTCAATGGGACTAACCTGTTTAAATAAAGGTTGAATGAATGGAAAAAGAAGTAATTAATTAGCTAATTAATTATCTGATCCCACATTATGGGGTACCTGATTGCATCAGATCTGATAATGGTACTCATTTTACATCTGATGTGCTGAAAAAAGTTGAATACATTTTTGGGGTCACTCACAGATTTGGTGCTGCTTATCACCCTGCTTCACAGGGTCTGGCAGAAAGAGCAAACCAAACCATAAAACACCAGCTTGCTAAAATATGTGCAGAAACAAAGATGAAATGTTTGGATGCTCTCCCTTTGGTGATGTTTTCTATCAGGTCCTCACCAAATGAACAAATTGGGCTGACCCCACATGAGCTGTTAACAGGGAGGAAAATGCTCTGCCCATTCACTGCTCCTCTGAGCAGCAGCTGCGAACCAGACTTGGACTCGCAAAGACAGAAGAGGTTGTACATTCACCAGTTGCAGTCTGCTATGAAGTTCTTGTCTCACAATGTACAGGAAATTCTCGCTGAAAAACCGACGGGAGAAGATCCTGAGCAGATTGCTGAAGGAGAGTGGGGGTACAGAAAAGTTTTCTACCAGACGTGGGACGAACCAAAGTGGATTGGACCTTTCAAAGTGGTAAGCTCCACAAAATACAGCCTAAGAGTCAGGTTGGATGATGAACACACAAAGATAGGCAGAAACTGGCACAAATCACACTGCAGTTAGAAACCTCAGAGAAGTCAGGGAACACCTGAGGCGGATAGGGGAGGATGTGGAGAGCAAAGAATGATCCAAATTATGACTAGCTTAACGTCTACACAATGGGTCTTTCTGGGGGTCCTGACCTTCATCTCTACAGCAGTGACATTTCCACTGATCAGGATCGGGGGGTAGGATACCAGTAAAGAACAATCTGGACAAAACTAACATCAAAATTAAAACCCCACAACAACAATGTGACATTTTAAAATGGACCAAAAAAGACATTCCCAGTCAGGATGAGGATATATGTGTAAATATATATGGGGGAATCATATTACAATACATTGCTAACAGTAGTTACACTTTCCAATTTGTTCTGTGCTCAGTAATTGACTGCAGTGACACGCCTGAAGCATGGAGGGGGTATGATGTGTATTTATGCAGAACAGATGGAGAACAGATAGAGGTCTCCCCCTACTGCCCTAATTGGGACTTAGTGCTGTGGACAACTAGACCGAATGAGTGGACAGCAGCAGACTGCGACTATGAAAAGCTGAAGGGAAAGACTTCCCTAAACCAGAGACAGGCAGTAAACTCTAATATTCAAGGACAGAACCCACTATTGTCCATCAGAAACATTGTCCACAACACTTATCCAACAAAAGAAGAAAAAGGAAGCATAGAGAGGACAGGAATAAGCTGTGACAGAAATTATGAGATGGCTTTTATTTTACTCTAAGAGTTGATGTATCAGGATATGATCCATTGGGTTTAATAAAGATAATCGTCCGTTAGTCCAACCAACCTTTATTTAGACAACCAGAATGATACAGGAGGATTGCCTGTGACTTTTACTAGAGCTGTTTCTGTGCTATGATGAGCTCTAAACCCTGACTCTTCAAACAGATTATTTCTTTGTAGATGTTCACGCAACTGACCTGCAACTATTTTCTCTAGAATTTTTGAGATGAAAGTTAGATTAGATATAGGTCTATAATTGGCCAAAATGTCTGAATCAAGGTCAGACATTTTAAGTAAAGGTTTAATTACAGCAACCTTAAAGCTCTGTGGTACGTAACCATTCATTAAAGACAAATTAAGTACATCCAAAATGTGGACATTAATTAGTGGAAATACCTCTTTAAACAGTCTGGTTGGGATGGGATCTAGCAGACATGTGGATGGTTTGGATGAGGTTATTATTTTTGACAATTCAGAGTTCAAGAGGACAAAAACAGTTCAAACATAAATCAGGCTCTAGTGAAATTTTTAAAGTTGCCTCATTTGACAGGGGACTAGAGATAGTAGAAGGAAGGATGGTTTGAATTTTCTCTCTAACTGAAATAATTTTATTTATAAAGAATCTCATGAAGTCATCACTACTTATAGTTGTAGGGACACATGGTTCAACAGAAATGGGACTTTTAATTAGTCTAGCAATATCTAAAAAAGTTAAATCTGGTCCTCTGGACATTCAAAAAAACAAAACAAAGCAAATCAACAAAAAAATGTAGAAACGTTTCGTCTCTCATCCGAGAGACTTCCTCAGTCTGAGGAACTGTATTCAGCTCAGTCTCTTAAATAGCACCGTCTCAGAGTGGATCAACCAGTTTTGCTGCTGACAACCAAAACCAGCTGATCACATGCTCAAGAAGGACCATCAGCATAACAATGGATCATTAGCACACTGATGGCTGTTTACTGTTCACAGAGGGCTGAGTGATACTAGCAATCACAGCATTGTAAGAGGGGGACAGTTGAACCCGGAGGCCTCCACCCCTGTTTAATGATGGACGATTTCTTTTCACAAAGATGGCCTCCTTTACTCCTCTCTCAAACCATCGTTCCTCTCTGTCCAGGATGTGAACATCTTCATCCCTGAAAGAGTGATTGCTGGCCTGGAGATGAGTGTAGACCGCAGAGTCCTGGCCTGATGATGTTGCTCTTCTGTGCTGGGCCATCCTTTTGGCCAGTGGCTGTTTAGTTTCCCCGATGTAAGACTGATCACAGCCCTCCTGACACTGAACAGCATACACAACATTGCTCTGTTTGTGCCGGGGGACTGGATCTTTGGGATGAACCAGTCTTTGCCGTAATGTATTTTGGGGTTTAAAAGCCACTGGGACGTTATGTTTAGAAAATAAACGTCTCAGTTTCTCTGATACTCCCTCAACATATGGAATGACCACTGGTCTGGGTTCCTCCTTTTCACCTGTTGGCTGACTGGAGTCCTGTTTGGGTTTCTTCTCTGCTTTTAGGAAGGCCCAGTTAGGATATCCACATTGCTCTAGAGCCTGTCTTGTGTGGGATTTCTCCTTCTGCCTGGCTCCTGAGCTAGTGGGGACGCTGTCTGCTCTGTGATACAGAGTCCTGATGACTCCTAACTTGTGCTCCAAAGGGTGATGGGAGTCAAACTGCAAATACTGGTCTGTGTGGGTGGGTTTGCGGTACACCTCAGTTTGCAAATGTCCTCTATTAGAGACTGAGACCTCACAGTCCAAGAAAGCCAACCTGTCATTTTTTACATCTTCTCGTGTGAACTTGATGTATTTATCCACAGAGTTGATGTGGTCAGTAAAATGTTGGACTTCCTGAGATTTGATTTTAACCCAGGTGTCGTCAACATACTTGAACCAATGACTTGGTGGTGTCCCTGAAAAGGACGTCAAGGCTCTCTTTTCTACCTCCTCCATGTACAGGTTGGCAACAATAGGAGAACTGGAGACCCCATAGCACACCCATGTTTCTGCCTATAATATTGCTCCCCATATGTGAAGTAGGTTGACTGCAGGCACAGTTTCAAGAGTTGACACAGTTGTTCTGTAGAAAGTGTGGTCCTGCTGCTCAGAGTGGTGTCTGATTTTAATCTTAAACTGACCACCTCTACTGCATCATCAACAGGAATGCAAGTAAAGAGTGATGTGACATCAAAAGAGACCATTGTTTCATCAGTCTCCATGATGACATCCCTCACCTTGTCCACAAAGTCCATGGTGTTCTGTATGTGGTGTTCTGAGCTGCCAACTAAAGGGATGAGTACAGACGCCAGATATTTGGAAACATTGTAAGTGACAGAGTTAATCATACTAACAATTGGTCTTAAAGGTACACAAGATTCTTCCTTCT